AGATGCATTTCCGACGGTCCCCGAAAGTGTTCTTTTTCAAGAGTAAATATAACCAAAATTAAGAGTAGCAAATATTTTTATTTCTTGCTTTTAAAGTTCATATGCAATATTGTGTTGTAACCTACAGAGTGCGTAATTCTTCTCGTGATTCATGTCATACGCAAGTTTCACTGACAGTACAAATCGCAACGTTAAGCGTCCATTATGTGACGTAATTTTAGTGTCTACTGATTGACTGACACCATGCTTTCGGGGAAATGATTCTTGTATTCATGTTTTTTGCTTAAAAATTCTCCACTCTTTAATATCATATTTTACGATTTTGTAAATCATCTTCCTTGGGGTAGGCTTTCTTTGCATTATTTATTAAATTTAATGAATTTTATTATTATTATTTTTATATTACTATAAAAACGCTTACTTCTATAGTTAGCGAGTTCGTTATGAAGGTTACCGAAAAGTAACGTTTTTTTGTTGTTTTTTTAGGAAGCCGGAGTTCTGACAATAGCTTTGATAATGATTTAAAATTCACATTTAACACATGAAAAGCACATCGTTCTGTATGATCATTTTCTTGCCCTTATATGGAAATGATTCCACTCATGACTCACTCAACATTATTTTCATCTGCGCACACGCATTGTTGCAGGTGAACGATGAAGCTATTATCGTTCCTTGTCATCAACTGTGTGCTTGGAACGCTACCTGAGTCAGTTAAACTCAAGGAAATGTACGAGACACGTCATAACAAGAAACCGTGCATATCGAGCGAAAACACCGAATGATAAAGTCGACTCATGTGTTAAAACATTTCCATTCATAATATATACATCTTATTATGATGGAGCTTGCGATGTATATGCCCAAAACTCGGATCTCGGAAACTACCGCACCGATCATCACCAATCATAACTGGGTAATATTTTTATAACTAGGCAATATTTTTATAGCTGAGCAATAAATAAAACAGTTGAAATTTCCACAAAAATTTTATGTTTCAGATTTAACCCATAAAAATTACAAACAAAAAGGAGTAAGTTTCAAATATAAAACAATCAAAAAACAAACTTAAAAAAATGTTTTTCTTTAGTGAAAATCTCGTGAGTGTTGCATCTACAAAGAAATACTTCAACAAAATCTACTCTGTGATGTAATGCTGTGATGATAGCTCATTTTTAAACTAAAATCTCAACAAAATCATTTTCCTCATGGATGGTGAACATTATTGAATGTCAAGTATGAGTACGGCCCGGTATGGCCAGGTGGTTAGGACACTCGGCTCGAAATATGCGGGTCGCGGGTTCGAATCCCCGTCATATCAAACATGCTAGCCCTTTCAGCCGTGGGGGCGTTATAATGTAACGGTCAATCCCACTATTCGTTGGTTAAAGTGTACCCCAAGAGTGGTGATGTCTAGCTGCCTTCCCTCTAGTCTTACACTTCTAAATTAGGGACGGCTAGCGCAGATAGCCCTCGTGTAGCTTTGCGCGAAATTCGAAAACAAACAAGTATGAGTCCATTGTTGTATAATTGTCAAACAATTCCAGAAAAGGCCTCTGGCTCAATAGCCTTCCGCAGGATCTAGCAGTTATACCTGCCCAGAGGGCGGGTATTTCTGCTAGTATATATAAAGAGAAAGTATCATCCAATGAATTAAAACAATATTCCAAAACAAAGCTACAACGGCAGAACAGGCAAGCATCGTTTTCATCTTTAAGAGGATTGATACTCCAAGTGCTTACAAAAGCACATTTCATAACTAAACACAATAAATATGGATTGAATTAGTTAGTGCATGTGACCTTCGATTCAGTAAAACATCATCGTGGTTGCAACAACAAAAAAATGTACAGGAAAACTGCTTTCAACAGCATAGCCATATTCACGGTTGGTGTCAAGTTAGATCACCATAAAACGCGATGAACTGTATAATCGCAGAAACACCATTGAAAAATAAATTACGCTGGTGGTGACAAGCTTAAATATCTCTAATGAAACGTACTTTATACGACCGGCTATTAAACTTTCAAAGATACATTTACACTTATGACTTATGAATCAAGACACGCAGTAGTGTGTGGTGCGGCCAAAACGACCTGCTGCAAGACACACTGTGTGTTATTAACAGAAGTGATAGTTTAGCGATTTTCCACCTTCTGTACCTCGGACATTGGAACTCCAAACTAATATAATTTCATTGGATGTGCTCTACTGGACTCTTACTTCACATACCAAATTTCAAGGCAATCCATTAAGAAGTACCTGATATTTAACATCTCCAATTTTGATTGAGTTTCTTCCTATTTTTTTTCTTCGCACCAAAAGAACGGAAACATTATTTGATAGAAATATACTTAACTTTTATGGGTTTTTTCTCAAATTCGGTACACTGATAGATGTTTTAACCTACGTGGTTTTAATTTTGACGAAACTTTTTGTGCACGCCCACGCAAAAAGTCATGTGAGCTATCGGTCTAACATTTTTACTGCAGCTTCACCTAAGAGTAAAAGTGGACTGTTTTTAGAGCAGCAAAACAATAAGGTGTAAGGACGTGCAGATACATATGTATTGGTTAGGCCAAGAAAACTAGAATAGTAGTTTCTATCTCAAGTTTTCAAAAGAATCATACGGGTAGACGGTTATTATTGATTAGCAATTACAAACTTTTCGGTACAAAGTTACTAAATTTTATGAAGTTATCCTAATTAAAGATCATTTAGCGTCACGTGATATTAGTTTAAGCAATTAGCATAAATAATTATGCTTGATACGGCTGTACCGATTGCATGGGGTGATGACAAGAAACTGTTAATCTAAATTCCATGGCGTTACTATAAAGGAACCTATTAACAATGTTTTAGAGAGGAAAAATTACACCATATATTTTAAAGAATCTGTTTGGTTCTGTAAATTAAAGGTCTGTTCCAAATAATAGGGTTGCGATCCTAAGGCTAATATGGGTTACTATCGAGTTTCACTTTCTTACTTGCTGTGGTTTGTTGGTGTTTACTGACAAAAAAAGTCGTGATATATAATCAAAAACACCTTAGGTGTGAAAAAAAAAGGTGCGGCCAATAAAGGATTAATCTTGAACCTTAAAGGAATGAAATCAAAATTGGCAGCTAAACTGGAAGCTACACTTATAGCATTGACAAGAATTTCACAGCAAATATTCACTCATTAGCTAGGCCGCGTATTTTGTTTTACTCACCATCATGCCCCAAGTTGAACAGAAAACGCGGCCTGGCAAACTAATGAATTAATATTTACTGTACAATTCTTCTCAGTGTTATAAGTGTAGCTATTTGGCCACCAAATTTGATTTCATTGCTTTAAGACGCACATTCAATCCTTTTCTGGCCGCACCTTTTTTTTTTTTCACATCTAAGGTGTTTTTGATTAGATAAATAATACACAGAATTTAGCAATTATTTAAGCATGAAACGTGTTTTCTAAAATCATTTAAGGAACAATTTCTGTTAAGTTGTTATGCTACGTGTTTAACAGTAATAACAAAAATTGCTTTAATCACACATTTTTATTATTTTTGTCTGGCGTCAAATCAGAATATTCCTCGTAATAAAAACCCAATTCAAAATTAAAAGAATTAAACTACTGACATGTTTTTTTAAAATATAAGTTCAGATGTACTTAAATGGGCAAATTTTTAAAATAAATTAGTTTTCAAATTATAGAAACGACTGATATGGTTAATACAACTTTTTATTACAGAGCACAAATATACAATAAAATTGTTAATTTAAAAAGAGGAAAGGGATCTTCAAAAAATTACAGAAACAAGATAGGTAGCTTAAAGTGAAATTGCAATCGCAAAAAAAAAAAACAAGTTTAAGG